GCTACCAGGCAATGTAGCTGTTAACATGATAAATATTCTTGGATGTGAGCCCAAGTTTTGTTCAGTTTTATGTGTTTATCCTCATACATTTACTTTGTATTGCTGTGTCTAATTCTAAGTGTGAGCTCTGAGAAGCCACTCAGTCAGTCATTCACCAGGTTCTTATTGAGTGCTCCACACGAAATACACGAGGAAGTAAGAATCTCATTCAGGAGACACACAAACAAATAGTTAAAACACAACATTGGAAGTTCTTTTAGAGGGCTGAGTTGAAGTCGGCATGAGGTGGTTTTGTGTGATGGTGGAGTTCATTTCTACAGGGATCTTGGGGACAGCCAGGTGCTTTGCAGATACAGAGGGAAGGACATCCACTTGGAACCGAGACTGAAACCGAGAGAGCCACACATGCAGACACGTGGCCCTGTGGGAGCCCCTGAGCAGTGAGTGGGTGAAGCCAGGGACATGCAGTGCCCCGGGAGAGGCCCAGGTGAGGCTGGAGTGGCAGCTGGAGGGTCAGTGGGTGAAGCCAGGGACATGCAGAGGCCCAGGTGAGGCTGGAGTGGCAGCTGGAGGGTATTTGATGAGCTGCTCTGTACCAGACCAAGGACTGGACTTAATTGTGCGGGCACCGAGGAGGAGGCCTCGGCCATGCAGTGCACCATGCCATCCGTGGTTTAGCATGTCTGCTGTGCGAACATGTGGGCCAGCGAGTGTGGCCCAAAGCGGCCAGTGAAGGTGCTGGCAGTTGGAAGGGGGAAGGGGATGACCTTGGCAGTGATTTGGGGTTTGGTGAAGCGTCAGATGGGTGTGGATGGTGCAGGCGATCAGGTGTAAGGACAGTCAGGAGAGTCATTTCTGGACACGATGAGTGCATAGGGCTCTGCCTACAGTAGAGATGGTCAAAGTGTGGAGAAAGTGCATGGGACTGGAAGTAGAGACTCGGAAGTCTCACCCTCCACGTCAGCGTGGAGACCTGGGGTAAAGTCTGAGGGACCCAGCTTTCGAGGCGCAGACAGACAGAGGAGGCAGCAGCGGAGCCTCGTGTGAACGTAATCTGTGATTATGTTGGGACACTTCTTGCTAACGGTGCACAGAATAAACGAAGATAAAGCGCAGATGCTCATCACTGGCCATGCCCTGGCGGAGGAGGCTGAGCGGCGAAGCTGAGTGTGGCTCTGGAAGGAGCTTGTGGGCCTGTGGCCGCAGGGCTGCTGCCTCTGTGATGGCTCCTGGGAAACAGATGCTGCGCGCTATTTTCACTTCTCTCAAAAGGGAAAATTCTCTTCTGAGTCTTTTCTGTTAGCAAAACAGGTTCCAATGTAGAGCTTTCCTAAAAGTGAGGTGGCATAAAGCGAACTTGGGAAAAGTGGGCGATACCCGACTTCCCAGTGTGATAGTCTGTGAGAGGCGCGCTTTGCGTGCGTGTGGCAGGGGCTCAGTCATGGTGTGTGTGCAAACGAGTGCACAGGCTAGTGTGCTCTGTTTAGACTTGTGAGAAGCAAGGCTGGCAGTGACGCTCTAAAACAGGGCGGCTGTGCTTGTAGACTATGATGCTGGCGTCGCTCTCTTATTGTTGTTACAGTACTTACTCTCTTTACTCTTCCTGAAATGAAAGTGAGGACGTACCAGAACGTGAAAACGCACAGAAGGGGGGAGCTCAGGTTTGTTAGGAGATGTAACTCCTGTCTTCGTTAAAACAGCCAAGCACAGACTTTCTAGTCCCAGTGTAAGTCACATGGCGATGATGATGGCCTTCGTTCAAAACTGGGAACCTTTCTGGATGTTCTCTCAGTGAAATTAATGCTTTCGTCAAACATAAAATTGAGGCGGAACAAGTCCCATTTTCAGCGATTCTCACTGGCACATGGCGATGATGATGGCCTTCGTTCAAAACTGGGGACCTTTCTGGATGTTCTGTCAGTGAAATTAATGCTTCCATCAAACATAAAATTGAGGCAGAACAAGTCCCATTTTCAGCGATTCTCACTGTTGTGTCCCCCCCCACCCCCCGTATTTAATAATGGAAAGCCTCTTGTGGTTAGGAGACTTTGGTGAAATCTACTTAGTTTGAACTTTCAAAGCCGTAAAATTCCCTGATAGCTCGCTCAGTCTGTTAAGTGTTGCTTATTTTACAGCGGACAGCTTCTAAATTGAAATGTGTATTCACTATAGTTGTAATGGTCTTTTTCAACTTTAAAAATAACCAGTTCATTCAGCTACAAAAGAAAATATAAAGAAATTTCGAAGGCTAATAAAAGCACAGGGCACATGAGCCTGTTCCTGTTTCTTAATGGAAGATTACTAGCATCCGTGTCTGAAAGCCCATGAATGTGTGTGTGTTTGAGGAGCAAGCCTCTGCTCATTTGTTTGCCTATTGTGAGCTGTCCTGCACCTTTGTGGGGTTTTTGTAACAGGGTGAAGGCCCCTGAATGGAGGCCTTGTGCCCTACTTGATTTGAAATCCTCCCTGTTAATCTAAAGGCCCCCGCAGGGCACCCAGCTGGAAGCCCGTGTGACAAGTGGAAGTCGGGATCTGGAAGAAACTTGGTGTTGGGGGAAGGGGGCCAGGCGAGTGGTAATCTTTCAGCCTTGGCTTTTGTCCCCTGCAGCCTACTTGTTACACTCTGCTGGCAACCGGATTGCAGAGCTAACCCTTTTAAGTATCCTTGGATTGCATGTGCTCACCTGTCTTTTATAGGTTAAAAACCTGGACAACTTGGATTTAATTCCCTTACGGAGTGTACTGCTGACAGGGCATTATGCATTACTGTTAGAGGTTAGCTATCTTGATTAATTATGTGTGTGGATTTATTTAAAGGGAAGAAGGGCTGCTTGGGAAATGCTGCTTGGCCTGCCCTTCACAGAGCCTGTTTAAGCAGGTTGCACCAACACTTGGCTGGTTAAATCTAGTTTGTGCAGCTTGTGTACTTTGTAGTATCAGCTATTGGTTCAAAGTTTCTTGGCTTAAGAAGCCATGTAATTTTAAGTGCATTACTGCATGAGAAAGGGGTGGGGCAGCAAAAGCTTTTTATAGGGTTTCACCTAATAAACCTTAATTTTTAAAATAAAGATTAATTTTTGAAGTATTATTTTGAGGATTTAACAGGAGCATTAGAACGTCATATTTCTTTAATTCTAACACATTTAAACTGACAGGGAAAGGGAGAGAACTTTATTTTTAAGTGATGTTTTTTCTTTTTCCCCCTCTTCAATCAGAAACTGGTTCTTCCACTTTGAGTGCCAATGAAGGCCTGCTGTAATAAGTATTTCGCATTCCGTCCTGCTGTTGGGTTTCAGGTGCCAGTGGTGTAGAGTGCTTAGTAGCTGAGCAGGCACAGTTAGGCAGTGCGAGGCCTGGTGCGGAGTAAGTTCGGTGTGGCGTGGCATTTGGTTTCTATAATGTCACTCCAGCACAGTGCTGAGGCCACGCGGAATACATCCTGGAAAAGTGTTCCACAGGATGCCAGAAAGGCCATGTTAATGATAAGTTTCTGGTACCTCAGCAGGTTTTGGGGGCGTGTTTTGTTCCCCACTGCTGTTTTATTCTTTATTGTGGTTCTCTGGAGACTGTGCCACGTGAACGTAGGAATTGTAAGCGCTTTGTTTATTGGTTTTTGTAGAATCCCCAGGATACTTTGAGCTTAATAATTATGTTGTTTTGTTGGTTATTGAGAGGGCATATTAAAAGCCAGTTGATAATAAAGTTTTCATTAATTATTTTAACATTTTCAAGGTAATATTAAAGGCAGTTCAACCAAAATCAGAGTCAAACATTACCAGCAAAATCAGAATTACACAGTAAAATAGTTTTTGGTTTGCTTTGGTTTATTTTTTATTTTTTTTATTTTTGAAAGAGAAGCGAAAGAGGTTTAATAGCTCTTATCTATTTCATTCCCTGAAAAAACATGTTGAGTATTAACTTCACAAGGTGAATATAACAAATGAAAAAGGGGAAAAGATAGAAACCCATCCAATTCTTGAATCATGGATTGAGTTTTGGAAGACAGTTTGATCTTCTACTCTGTTTTGCTGATTCTCTCTTAGCATTTCCTATCTTCTGATTAGCTGTATTGTACCTTCCCATTTCCACTGGTGCTGGGGTCCAACCCCAGCAGGTCCAGGGGTCCCCAAAGGTGTGGACGGAGTTGGCGAAGAAGACCTGAAATGGAGGCAGCGTTCAGTTTTGGGTTCTCTCGCCTGGTTCTATCCAGGATGTCCAGCCAAGTTCTGTCTTGGTTCTCCAGCCAGGTTCTCCAGGTTCTCTAGCCAGGTTCTTCAGCCAGGTTCTATCCAGGTTCTCCTGCCATGTTCTGTCTAGGTTCTACAGCTAAGTTCTGTAGCCAGATTCTGTCCAGGATCTTTTGCCATGTTCTCTCGCTAGGTTCTGTCCTGGATCTCCAGCCAAGTTCGGTTGCCAGGTTCTATCCAGGTTCTGTATTATCGGTTTGCTTTGGTTTAGAACAGTGGTCTCAACCTTCTGGCCCTTTAAATACAGTTCCTCATGTTGTGACCCAACCATAAAATTATTTTCGTTGCTACTTCATAACTGTAATGTTGCTACTGTTATGAATCGTCATGTAAATATCTGATATGCAGGATGATCTTAGGCGACCCCTGTGAAAGGGTCGTTCGACTGCCAAAGGGGTCGCGACCCACAGGTTGAGAACCGCTGGTTTAGAAGGAAGTTGGTTATAGCTGCCCTCCTCCAACTTTTACTGACTAGTCATCTTCCTGCAAAGTTCAAATACGGCCTTTGGTTCATACGGTCTTGTAATAAGTTTAGCTCTTAATGACGTGTATGTTTGTGCTCTTGACAGTTCACTGCCTTTTTGTTTTTACTTTTGATAAAGTATTAAGAAATGATAGCTGTGACATTTTATGCCTGCTTAAAGGTAACATGAGTTGATAGTCTGTGATAAACCTTTGCTTCATTTTGGTTACGGAAGAAGCTTATAACGCATTGCAATATTTATGAAGTGCTTTCTGTTTGTGTTTGCTTAGGACATGTCTCAGGAAGGCTATGGAACTAGGTCTCAACCTCCTCTGGCTCCTGGGAAACCTAACCATGAAGACTTGAACCTGATTCAACAAGAACGACCATCAAGTTTACCAGTAAGACATTAATGTGCTGATTTGGAAATGTCAGGGGTTAAAGATTTTTTAAGAAGCTGTTGTTTTTGTTTGTTCTACTTTATATTAAAGCTTAGAAGTTTCTAGATTTCAGATATATTTGCGATTTTTTTAAGGGCTTTATTCTTAGGAGCTATGTAGGCCTACGAATAAATTTGGATAAGTCTATTTCATTGTACGCATCTCTGAGTCCAGTTGGAGGGTTTTATTGGCTGCTGGGTTTTGTGGCAGAAAAGTGTTTGTGTGGTACGGCTGCACTTGGTACAGCCTGTTGCTCTCTGGTCATGGTACAGTCCTGAGGGGGTTTTATAAGAGCTCAGTATTAAGGGGTTCCCACTAGGCAAAGCATATAAATGATGAGATAAAGCATCCGGTGGTGGTTTGAATTTCTTCAGGGACTTTATATAATGAGAAATCGCCCAATTTTTTTCACCCAAAAGAAAGTATTTTAGTTTAAAATTGGAAAAAGCAGCATATAAGTATTTCCACCAGCAAATACTGTTTGGTGGCTGGTGTACATATCGACTAGAGTAGAGGCTGTATTACAGGGTATAATGCTGATGCTCATAAATAGTTCATCTGTGCTTGATTTGCTTTTTTAATAAACAGCCTAATTTAAATGAGGTTTTCCTTATAAACTAAAATAATACATCTGTACAAAATTTTATATTTTCTTGTTAAAATGTTTTGGTTTGAAGAATTATTGTTATTGCTTAATCTCTATTAAGAAATTTTATTTCAGGTGGGAGTTCAGGCTAACCACAATATTAAATATGTTTACATTAAGCACGATTTATTATATTGCTTCTGAACATTGAGAACAGCATTGGTAATGAATGTCATGCATGGCATTTGGCAGGCATACCACCCCCATTTTCCATGTACACGTAGCCCTAGGGAAGAAGGTAAGTGATGGCGACAGGGTGTCCAGGATCTGTAAATCTGATGCACACGTTTTTGAAACTCGAATTTTACAGCTTTTATTTCTCTGGTGGGTGGCACTTATTGTGGCGTGTTTTTAGTCACCGTGGAGTACTGATTGTATAGTTACTTGGTTTTTGAAGGAATGAAGAACGTGGTGGATTCTGTGTGTTATCCTGTAAGCTTTTTTCTTTAGATAAATCACAGAGAGCATGTAGTATGTGGGTGTGCGTGTGTGCTCATGTGTGCGTGCACACACACTGTTGATAAATGGAGCGTTTGCTGAGTATTTGGAAATTGGCCTGGTTTTAGGAATTTGACTCCTGAGAAGCAGATGGACAATGAATTCCACTTTGCTTTCTCCCACCAGTTTTTAAGTCTTCTCAGAGAAGCTAACTTTGTATGTTTGTGGTTGGTTGGTGCTATACACTGATACGCAGATTGGAGACTTTGTTCTGTATTGATCCGGGTGTTCTGTTAGCTATAAGAATAGTTTCAGTGTTCTGCTTTCTTCAGATCCGCTGGAACTGTGGCATCACCCACAGGCTGTGCATCTCCTCCGGCCCTGATGGGAATGGGGAGTTGACATTCAGCTAACTCACTGCAGACTTAGGGGGGGAGGAAGTGTGGGAGTCCCAGAACACTGCTGCAGAAGCCTGCTTTGGGATGGTGCTTTTTGAGTTGATTACTATTGGTAAAGCAGCTAAACGTATTTTAGGAAGTAAGGCAATATGTTCATCAATCGTTTAAATTTTTCTGAATTACTCTATTTGTATACATATCATATAATGGCTTGTTTTCTTTCTTAAGTGTTAAGTGTTGCCCTAGTTGGTATTTCCTTTCTTTTTTTGGTAACTCACAGCTAATTAAGATGCTGCCTGACTCAATAACATTTCAATGATCTTTTTTAGAGAGCAAAGTTTTCAAGTTTTATGGTGAGTTTATGGAAGTACCATACCGGTCACTGAATGAAGGACAAACTATATAGATCAGTCGGTGTACCTAACCCATACCCCCATCTGTGAAGATGAAAACTGGCTTTATTTAAATGAATTTTAGCACGCCACATATTTTTCCAACAGACTCTGTTTATGTAGAAAGTTTCTAAATGAAGTTTACAAATATGTTTTTATTTAGGTGGATACATTGATATACACAATTAAGGTAATTATAGTTTGGGGAAAAGATTGGTTGGTGTTCAGTACGGATCTAATATCACATATTTTTAGTGTTACATTTATTATTAAGTATTTTAATTCTCCAACTTGGCTAAGTAGATACTATCGGTACTGTGAAACTATACTTGTTATTTATCTGAATTTCCTATGGAGTCTTTTGTAGATTTATGCTGTGTTTTTTCTTAACAAATGTCGGTGATATATATTTTGTCTTTTTACTTAAGGTAAAAGGTAATCCATCATATTTGTAATCTCTAGCTTTGTAATTTGGAACTAAGGAAATTGTGGTCTTATCTGTACATTTTTAAAATGTGGCACAGTGATTCTAATGTATAGTTAGTAAGTCTTATCATTACAAATGTGACTACAAGGAACCTTTTTGCTTATATTGAGGTGGATTTTGTAATATTTTTCTGCATTGTGATGTTTTCTTCAGCATGTGTTTGTTCCACAGTTAACTTTCCATTACAAAAAGTCAGGACCTTTCCAGCATCCTTTTGCCAGATCTATAATTCGATGCCTTAGTGAGCTGTCCTCTCACCATTGTTTGAACTGGTATTTGTCTATATTTGCACATCGTTAAATTCTTGGTGATCTTCAGTAGCTAATGTAGTTGTTTCCCAGCTGACTTAGGTCTTCAGATCATCCACATAAAGCAAATGACTGATAAATTAATACTTGTCCTCTTGTTGCCCTGGGGCCATGACCAGTAATATTTGCTTTTCACTTAATGCACTCAGACCTAATCTCAGAACAAATCTTCCTTAACAATGTCCACTTATTTCCATACCTCTTAACCATACAGCTTTTTCCCTGTTGAGATACATTAACTTACATGCCTTTTGTATTACCATTATTGACAAATCTTAGCATATAACATGTAATGTTGAATTAGTTTGAGCCTGGCCCTAGTGGCTCAGTTGGTTGGGCATCGTCCTGTGCACCAAAAGGTTGCCTGTTAGATTCCTGGGCACATAGGCCCAGGTTGGGCACATATACCCACGTCAGGGCACATATACCCAGGTCAGGGCACATATACCCAGGTTGCAGGTTCTACCCCCGGTCAGGGCAATGTCTCTCTCTCTCTCTCTCTCTCTCTCTCACTCGCGCTTACTCTCCCCTCTCTTCCCCTCTCTCTCTGTCTTCCTTCCCACCCTCTCTCTCCAGTCAGGGCAGGTATGGAGATCAACTGATCAATGTCTCTCTCTCTCTCTCTCTCTCTCTCACTCGCGCTTACTCTCCCCTCTCTTCCCCTCTCTCTCTGTCTTCCTTCCCACCCTCTCTCTCCCTTCCTCTCTCTAAGCATGTCCTTGATTAAGTATGAAAAACATTAGTTTGAAGAACTCTGTCTCCTTGTAGTATCATCACTTAGAAAATTAGAGCATATTCTATAGTTTTTTCCTACCTCTAATATTGATATAAAGTGAAGCCAGAATTTTTAAACGAAATAAACAGTGGAAAGTCTAAAAAATGCTATAAATTTAACTTTTATTTTATAAACATTGAATATATCTCAATTTACATTCTAAGATAACCCCCAAAATGTGATGCAGCACTTTTTGTTGAGTCTTTTGTTATATTTTCATCTTTTGTGGCATTCACTGTTTATCTTTTTATTCTAGTTATTTTTTATAGCTGTCTTGGTTCCCATTAGAGTAGGATCTTTTTTGAATATTTATGTTTCATGCAGTAGGTATTTTCCTAATAGTTGATGTGAAAACTTGTAAGAACACTAGAGGCCCAGTGCACGAATTCGTGCAGTGGTGGGGTCCCTTGGGGTGGCCTGGGGAGATCGGGCTGGAACCTGCAGCCCAATGCCGCCTGCAGCTCCTACCTGCCGCTCCTGCTCATCTCGGCCCCACTGCGCCTGCCACGGGCTTGCGCCCAATTAGTCCCAGTTGGGAGAGGCTCGCACCACAGCAGCGCTCACCAGCCATGAGCCCTGCTTCTGGTGTGCTCCCGAGGGGAGTGGCCTTCGGGATTGGGCCGAAATCTGCTCTCTGACAACCCCTGAGGGGTCCCGGATTGTGAGAGGGCACAGGCTAGGCCGAGGGACCCCACCAGTGTACAGTCGGGGCCGGGGAGGGACCGCAGGAGGGCTCCAGGGCGTTTCCAGCCCCATCTCACCCAGTCCTGATCAGCCGGACCCCAGCAGCAAGCTAACCTACCGATCGGAGCATCTGCTCCCTGCTGGTCAGTGCACATCATAGCAACTGGTCAATCAGTCAACTGTCTGCCCCCCTGGTGGTCAGTGCACGTCATAGCGAGCGGTTGAGCGGCCTTAGCATATCATTAGCATATTACACTTTGATTGGTTGAATAGTCGACTAGTCACCGGACTACCAGACACACAGAATATTAGGCTATTATTATATAGTATTCTTAAACAGTTTCAGCATTTTCTTTTAATTGCTTACGGGATCTTTTCCCAGGTGCTGAACTGACAGCAGGCAAGCCTGTGTCACAGGCACACAGTGGTCGTCAGAATGTGTGACGCTGTGTTGCAGGTGGTCTTATTCTTACACACATTTTCTTTCATCATAAAATTGCAGCTGAGTTTTACCTTGGACTTTAAGCTTTAAGAGAAGTGGGCACCTTTGGATAATGACGCTAAAAGGAAGTGAAAACATCTTCCTTAGTAATATATATTTTTTTAATTAAAAAGGAAATGGACAGAAGCAGTAATGATAATTTCAGTAAATATGGTACAGATAGATATCTTGTTAATAAAATATTTATAAATGTGCACAAAGAAGTAAACAAACCAAAAAGCTCTGATTTTTCTTACTCGTCTAAGCAAATAGGCTTTCTCCTCCAGGGACCTGAGTTGTTAAATATTCCTTAGTTGAGAAATAACTACTTGTTTTATTCTTCACAAGAGGC